CTGTATATTTTCACAGAACAGACTGCTTTACCTTTCACACAGCAGCTGGTGAATTCGAACTGCGGACCAATAGTAGACCAATACATAATGCAGTATGCCACCAGGGCTCATGCCCAAACAATAGAAGCTCGAAAAACCAAGACCCCATATCTACTGCCGTTGATGTCAACTCACAGTAACCCTGTAGAACAGGATGATTTCCAAAGCTAGAAATCTTTATGAAAATAGACTAGCTGGTCTTATTCCTACAGAGCAAATGGCAGGTTCAAATGGATAATCTTTAGTTAACAATTAAAAAACAGTTAAAAAGGAAATAAATGAAATAACTTTTAAAAATTTCTTATAATTAAAAAGCAAGAATTTCCATCTTGGCAAGGTCAAGCATAATGAGTAAAAGCAGACCCATAATGACATCCCTGTAGACTGTCCCACCACTGAGCACTGGTGGCCTAGTGTTTAATTAACATGTCACACTGCTAACCAAATGGTATTCAGCTCAAATCCTTAGCTTCCCAAAGGAAGAAACATGGGCAGTCTCCTCTTGTTAAGATTTATAGCCTCCGAAACCCAAGGAATAGGGATTCAATTGACATCAGCAAGTGTTTTATGTGGCTGCTCAATCTAAGGAGGCCTATAGCTCAAGTGCTTAAGTGCTCAGCTGCTAACAAGAAGACCTATGGTACCAAACAGCAAAGCACTATTGTTGTTGTTACTACATGCTATAGAGTTACTTGTGACTCACAGAATCCCTCCCTATGACAGCTCTGAACCCTGTTCTATCCTGAGCCAATTTCATTGTCTCTGACACACTTGACCCCATTATCCAAGTCACTGAGTCAATCCATCTCATACAAGAAAAAGACGATGCAATCTACTTCCATAAAATTTACAGCCTTGAAGACTCTGTGAAGCACTTTCACTCTGTCCTTTAAGGTCACTACGACAGAGTATTTGAGAGCATAAGTAAATGAATCTACAAGCCTTGTGAGGGCATGTTTTCCTTCCTTATCATGCAGGTGATTAAGGTTAAAATAAACAGAGATAAGTCTGTATCTCTGGCATGATATGCATAGTAAGAATGAGTGAAGTTCCCTGAAAGGCATATACAGAGACTAACAATGAAGAAAACATCAGTCAAATCGTAACAGAAGGACATTCTATAAAACACATGACTAGGATTCCTCAAAACAGTCAAGGTCATCAAAAACAAGGAAAATCCTAGAAATAATCATAGCCAATAAGGGCCTATGGAGACAGGACAACTGTAACGTGGTATCCTGAATAGATTTAGGACATAAGGGGGAAAGGACATTAGGGAAAGAAATCTGAGACAAACTTCATAAAGTATGCACTTTAGTATATGATAATGTTATCAGAATTAGTTCATTAACTATATAAATGTAATATATACCAACGCAAGAAATTTAGAGGACACTGGGGGTGTGGCGTATAAGAGAAACTCTATGCCATCATCTCAATTTTTATGTAAACCCAACATTTTTCTAAAAAAATGAAGTCTAACAGTTCTGCCCTTTGAAAAGCACCATGGTAGTGAATAAGAACAAGTGCCTTATTAAAGGTAGCCACAAAGGAGCAAAGAGGGAAGTGGTCATGAAACAACAATGCATGCTATATCTCTTACAAATCATGAACACACAATACTATTTGTTATATTCACCCAATTGGAAAGAAAGTAACACCATACCTTGTTGGCAGCAACCAAGACTTTATCAAGAAATCGAAGCCATTCAAAGATAAAAACTGGTCTCTTTGCTTCTGTGATTTGAGCCAAAGCATCTTCATTTAACAGCAAGCTGTGTGCTAACTCCATGATTGGTGAAGTGTTAAATTCACACCTTAAAATGATAAAGACTTGCTTTCAATGCTTTTTTTAAGTGTTAAAAGTCAAGCTTAACGAATGCAACTACTAATAAACGTAAAAGGATCTCTTCTCATTTCATTTGGGAAGACTTACCCAAGTTGTTTCATGCAAAATGGGAAAATCCAGTTTTAAGAGCAATGATATAAATAAAAACAAAGACGCAATTTTTGGAAAGGAAGTATTTTACAGTAAGGAAGAAAAGCAAATGAGGAATAACGAACGACGTGAAAGAAGAGTTAAAATAAAAGCTGCAATTAAAGTATCATTCCAGGAGAAATACAAGCCATGAAACCATTTCATCAATGAGAAACCCAGCATCAATAGGCATGGCAGTCCATCTTTCCTTTTCTTGTCCATGAAGTGCACAAGTGCTCTTACCCTGCTGCCCAGGCCCAGGTGGAAGTCAGAGTCCCTGCCCCAGCATGAAGGTCCCAACCTGAGCGTCCTCCTAGAAGCGACCTCCTAGTAGCGAAGCTTCACTGACAGGAGCGCGCGGGCGCAGAATGATGCCGGCAGAGAGCTCGCGGGCCAAAGACTAAGGCTTTACTTAGCTACTCGCTAAACGCGGAACCGTGGGGGGAAATACCAGTGGCTGTCACAGGCCACTGTGATCTCTAGGGCTGTCAATTCCAGGAGGTGGCGGCTGGGAAGGGAGCCCGCAGCCAGAAATGGGAAAACGTTCACATTACGAACTCGGATTTCTTCTCTCTCCCTATGGGTTTCTTCTCCCTCCCTAAGGATTTCTTCTCCCTCCCTAAGGATTTCTTCTCTCTCCCTATGGGTTTCTTCTCCCTCCCTAAGGATTTCTTCTCTCTGTAGCGTGTAAACTGGCACGCTATAGAAGCGGATGGGGAACCCTCACCTCCAGGCGCGGAACAGCTGAGTTTCAGGACCAACCCGGCGACCAATTAACCCGGATGCCCCGCCTCCCGCACGGGAAGCCTGCAGGAAACCAGTGGATTGCGCTTGCGCGGAAGTCCATTCGCGCACGCGCATTAACCGCATCTTCTGATTGGTCATTGATTGGGCGCCCGGAAATCCAGAAGCAGCCAGTCTTTTGTCTTGGGCGCACAGAAATTCAGAGGCAGCCAGTCGCTTGTCTTGGGCTCATGCGCAGAGTGCTTGTCGGAGCTGGTCCTGTCGTATACTGTGATTTCCGCTAAGTTATTGGGGACTTTTTCAGTAGACTAGTGAAGGCTTCGTGTGCGCAGGTTGTAAGTTCTCCACCACTCTTACGATCCTCGACTCTGGGTTGTTATATCAACGGGATCCTGTATATGGGAGGAGCTTACGAAGGAAGACCCCAAAAGAGCTTGTTTGGGAATGAGGTGTTTCTGGTTACCTTTCTGCTCTCTTCTGTGCACTCGACGATTTAGGCTTTCTCTCCACTTGAAGCTCAGTGAGATTCTTAATATGCCTAGAATGGCACGTTCTTGCTGTTTTCCTATTCTCAATTCTTTCAGGTTTCTAACTCCCACATTTTCGGGCCAGAGAGAAGGAATAATCCTTGAACATAGCTCATAGACCACCTTCAACCCACCCACAAATTCTGTTCTCCACAGTTTTAAATTATAACGAGAATCCATCCTCCAAGATCCAAGCCTGAATTAATCGCCTCTTGAAGTTTATGTTTATGGCTGATGGTAGAATGTACCAGTTGATAGGGCGCTTTAAAGGGATCCAGGACACTCCCCCCTTTCAGTAGTTAGTTATACTGAAACACTTTAAATCCAAATAGGTCCCTTAATCCTATCTGTGATGGTTTAAAGATCTTTGATTGCATAGTGTGTAAAGTATTGAATGGCTTACCCAAAAGGCTAGCTGGCACTTGGTGATCCATTAATTGCTCTGAGAGGAGAGAGATAGGCGGGTTCGTGTGCAGACTTAACAGCCTCGGTGAAAATTACAGGCTTGGAGACGGTGGTAAGGTTGGTTGCTATGAGTCCAAATGGACTGGACAGAAGTGAGCTCAGTTTTTACCTGTAGCAGCAGGAGCACAAATACCCGGAATGTTTGTATGTACGTAGTTTTCTTTTCACCCATCAACTCAACTTTTTGAAAATTTCTCTTACTGGCTGGGGTGTTTCCTATTCGATCATTAATTGCTGTTTTGTCTTATAACATTAATTACTATTGATTCATATCATTGAAAGATTTCAGATCGAAGCCAAGAACCTCGCCGAGGTAGAAAGATAGGATTCTTCTCAAAATTTTATCGCGGGACGGTCTACTCAGCAATGGGAGTAGCACTAGGTGTTGGACTTAGGGGTTTTATATGGGGTCGTTACAGTGGCTCATGGGCCCATAAAGTTTCTGGTCTTGGGAAACTGTTTCTGGGGAATATCCTGACACAGGATTTCTGAGTTCTGGTTTCAGAAAAATGTCCTGACGTAGGGTTTTCTAAGTTGTGGTTTTGGGGAATGTCTCACCGTAGGATTTTCTGAGTTCTGGTTTCAGAAAATGCCCTGATGTAGGATTTTCTGGTTTTGGAAAAGATCTTGACATAGGACTCTTGAGTTGACCTTCAACCTCCATTTTGATTTTTAGCTTAACAATAATTAATTGCAATGTCAGTCTTTGTGGCTTTGAGCAAGTCACTTATTCATAGTAAGTCTTCAGTCCTCCAAGTCAATCTAGAGGACAGTTGTTTGGCCTACTGACTGGAAGAGATTCATATTTATTCCCATACCAAAAAAAGATGCAAATATTTATAAGAGACTGGTGGATTTGAACCAATGACCTGTCAGTTAATAACACAGTGCCTTATGCACTATACCATTAGGGCTCCTTGTGGTGACATTGTTGTTAAGTATTGGCGAGTCAAGTAAAACTCATAGCGTCCCTATGAACAAAAGATCTGAGCCCTGTTCTATACTTTGCTGTCCTCACACATCCTGACACACAAGAGCCCATTGCAGCAGTCACCATGTCAGTCCACCTGGTTGTGGTAACATTAATCATGTGGAAATTTAGGGGATGAACAAGGCTTTAGGGAAATGATAGTTATTTGGATTCTTGAGTTCCAGGGCTCTGTATCCTATAGGTCTTCGGAATTTCTTTCCTAAGGGTTTATTTCTATTTTTGTAAACCAAATCTTTTACTTGATTTGTAGATATTGTTGTCGTATGAAGTTGAACATGGCAGAAGAAGAGGACTACATGTCTGATTCCTTTGTTAATGTCCAGTAAGTAAATGAACACTTATTGTAATGATGTATTTATGAGTGACAAGGATTTTACATAGATGGTTGGAAAATTAGCCTATTTGTTTTTACAGTTATCCTTCTCTATGTCCATGTAAAGAACTACAAGCCCTTTCCTCCCCTCTAATGCTGTTCCTTTTTCTCTGCTCCTGATCCTTTCTATTTCCTTCTACCAGGGAAATTCACTCCTTTTCCTTTATTTCATTTTATTGTTCACTCAGTTTTGATCAGCCTCCTTAAAAATTCACCAACATTTCCTACAAATTTCTTTAGCCTCCTATTCCTTTGCATTTCCTACAACTAGCTTTCAACCTAAAATAATCATTCTGGGATATCACTGTGTTCCAATTCTGTCACATTTAGTGACATATTCTCAGTTCTTAGTCTCCTTGATTGCTGCAGAATTTTACTTACTTCTTAAAGCTTTCTGGTTTTGTTCTCTGTCCTGATTCTTTGCCAATCTCTCAAGTATGCTGACACATTTGTTACTGCCACAAAGTAAATGTAGTCACTTAATTTTAGCGTTTCTACTGTCTGCAAATGTCTTTACTGTAATTAGTAATGATGAAAAAGTTTCTCATTTCATTTTTTTTAATTAATTAGTTTAAAATGACAAGTTATGAGAAAGCTTAATGTACTTATCTAAAGTAATCTTTTCATTATTGTTCAGGCAAGATGTTAGGCCAGGCTTACCAATGCTGAGGCAAGTACGAGAGGCTCGTCGAAAAGAAGAAAAACAACAAGAAGCTAATTTGAAAAATAGGCAGAAGAGTTTAAAACAGGAAGAACAAGAAAGACGTGACATTGGGTTGAAGAATGCACTCGGTTGTGAAAACAGAGGATTTGCTTTGCTCCAAAAGATGGGATATAGGAGCGGCCAGGCTCTTGGCAAGAGTGGTAAGTTACCTTCATAAGTAAACAGATATTTCTTACTGCCAGATGGTGATGTTGATGAGTTCAGAGATTCAGAGTATCTTATATGCTGCTAAGCTTTCTAGAGAAAAGGTACTTTTTTCTAGAGAAAGTACTTTTTGAGTACTTTTACCTTCCTGTACCTATTTTGGATGAGGCATATGCCATCAAACTACACTGCACAGGCTCATCAGTGCAGCTCAGCCTCAGAGGCAGTAACAACAGGGATGGATGTGGTTTACAGTGAAGCCCGCAGCCAAGAATGCTAACCAGTGATGAGAAATTCTGAAGAATAGTAAACCACTATGGAGGATAATGGTAGGGCTCTACCCTGCTTGCTTTATGCTGGTGGTAGGTGCCCAAGTAATTCCCCAGTTAGAAGCACAATTTCTTATTAAGAAGTGAACTAATGATTAAGATATAGTGTCTTTAAACTGCTTTTCTTTCCTTCTGACCCTTATTATTTATTTATTTATTTTAAATTTTTGTGTGAGTGCACCATCAAATCAGATCTGACTGGTACAGGAGGAGATTGTCCCTCCTTCCCCGGCAGAGCATCTGGTGGATTCGAACCGTGCGCCTCTGGAATTGTATTTGCAGCTCCTTGCCACTAGGCCACCAGAGCTCCCCTGACCCTTATTTTTATTGCTTTGCTTTCTACCTAGCAAGACTTTGCTTTCCTGTAGGACTTCTTCCCTCTTAGACCTACAGTAGTAGTGTTTACACCACTTTCAAGAATCCCTGGGTGGCAGAATGGGGAAGCCGCTTGCTGAGAGATTCTTGGAAGATAGACCTAGTCAGTCAGCGTTCAAAAGACCCAGAGCCAAACTCATAGTCGATATGTTGATTTCACTTACAGTGACCCTCCAGGACAAAGTAGAAAACTGCCTTATAGAGTTTTTCAAGGCTTAATCTTTATGGATTGCCATCTTTTTACCAAGGAGCTTTCCGATTAACCTGTGAATGCTTTAACCACTGGGCAATGGAGCAGTTCTCCTCTGTACTCAGGGAGTCACTGTGAGTTAGAACCTACTCAACAGTAACTAACATTAACAACAAACCTCCCACTTCACGTGGCAGAGATTTAAATCAACCTTATGGACAGTTAAGCATCCAGAAGGCAGATGTTGTTATGTGGCTTTGAGTCAACTTTGACTCTGCAATCCCATGAGCAACAGATCTGAACTATGCCCCATCTTGTGCCATCTCCAATGCACTTGAGCCCATTATTTCTTTGTTAATCTATCTTGTTGAGTGTATTCCTCTCCTATACTGACCCTCCACCTTTCCAAGCATGATGTCATTCTCCAAGTACTGCCCCTGCTAACAACATGCCCCAGGTTTATGAGATGAAGCTTCAAAATTCACCATCCTTACTTTCAAGGAGAAGCCTGGCTGCATTTTTCCAAGACAGACTTGTTTGCATCCTTTGTCATTATCCAACTTTCAGATGTGTAGTGAGTAACTGAAAAGACCATAGCTTGGATCAAGTGCACTTTAGTCTTTAAACTTGACGATCTTGCTGTTCAACACTTTGGAGACGTCTCTAACAGTACTTTCCCAAAGCAGCTATCTTTTGATTTTTTGACTTTCAGTATCAAGGGTGTTGATTGTGGATGCAAGCACTACTATATCATTGACAATTTCAATCTTTTCTCCATCTTATCATTATGTTGCCTGTTGGCTCAGTGGTGAGAATTTTTATTTCTTAATGTTGACATGTAATCCAAATTGAAGGCTGTCTCTTTACTCTTCTGTAGCAAGGGCTTCAAGTCCTTCTCACTTCTGATAAGCAAGGTTGTGTCAGCTGCATAATGCAGGTTGTGAATGAGTCTTCTTCCAATCTCATGCCACATTGTTCTTCATAAAGTCTGACTTCTTAAAAAAAGAAAGTGTGACTTCATGGATGATTTGTTCAGCATACAGATTGATCAGGTATGAAGAAAGGATACAACCTTGATGCACACCTTTCTTGATTTTAAACAATGCATTGTTTCCTTGCTCTGTTTGGACAGCCACTTCTTAAAGGCAAAAGATATATCATTAATTATGGAGTGTTGATTTTCACCTTTCAGTTTTTAATGTCTTTAAGACTGGAGAAAATATGTATAGAGCATTGTAAAATTGAATACTAAACTTTTAATTTGAAAAATAATTTCTTAAGTAGTTCCTATTTTCTCTTTTTTAGGAGATGGTATTGTTGAACCAATTCCACTCACTGTCAAAACAGGTCTGTAATTCTTTTTAATGTAACTTTAATTTGGGGCATAATATTATTACCTTATTTTTTTACTGTAAACTTTGGACAAATTTTATTATCAAAACTAGTAATAACTAGCTTTTATGACGTGGCTACATTTATTGTAGGAAGCTCTCAGTAAATGTTAAACTTTTATAGCGTGGTACTGGTACAGTGATAGACACATGTATCAGTGGAATAGATTTGAGAACACAGAAATCAGCTCATCTACCTATAGTCAACTGACTTTTTGGCAAGGAAATGAAATCAGTTAAGTGGGGAAATGATAACCTCTTTAACAAATGTTAGTTAAACTTTTGAAAGTTTAAAACTACAAATAAAATTATTTTAGTGAGTGTAAAATGTAATTTAACTATTAAAATATGGGGCAAACACTTTGTATCCATTTTACAGCACAGTGCTTTCTATCCAAGTGCTATGAGACAAATCCATTTTTAAAAATATTTGGACAAATTCAAGAGGGAAAAAGATGCTTTCTTTTTTGCATTATATTTATCTAAAAATATGACAATGCCCTTTTCCTGACTAAACTTAAGTATTATGCTCAATTTGTTAAGTAGTAGTATTAGATGAAATATTTGCCAAGAATGATCTTTATAAAAATCAAATTGAGTATTTGAGAATTTTTTTGTGTTTTAAATCTGAGTCTTTCTCTGTAATCACGCTTGTCAAATAATTTTTCATTATGTTACTCAAATGGGAATTGTATTTAGTTTGTGATTATTTTTAATGGGCATACATTAAAATACAGTGTCAGTAAGAGTCTCATCAGTTTTCTGTTTGAACAGGCAAAGGTGGTATTGGTCACGAGACATCATTAAAACGAAAAGCAGAAGAAAGATTAGAAAGCTACAAAAGAAAAGTTCACATGAAAAACCAAGCCCAAGAAAATGCTGCAGAACAGTTTCGGTAAATCTTTGTATTTCAGCTGTTTGTTTGTTTGTCTTTCTTTTTTTAATAGCAAATATGCTTTATTTAGAATGCATACTCTGGTGAAAGTGAACTGAGGCTCAGTTGACATCAGCCTCAACTGTGTTCTTTCATCTCTTTATCATGGTATATTTTCTATCAAAATGGTTAAAAAGAGTGTATAGATTACATGTACAGTTTTGTTTTGTTTTTTCTCAATTAGAATGCGCCTTAAAAATAAGCAAGATGAAATGAAGCTAGAAGGAGATCTCAAAAGAAGCCAACGAGCCTGTCAGCAGTTAGATAATCAGAAGGTAAGCCTTTTGCCTAATTTTGCTTTGGTACAATATTAAAAAATACATACACATACATGAACTATAAGCATGGTTTATCTACCTCCGAGTCATCAAAACTCTTTTAGGCTAGAGCACTGGTAGCAGAGTGGTTAAAGAATTTGGTTGCCTGAGTGAGCTATCTCGGTCACAAAAGGACAGACTATGCATAGCACCACTGTTATAAAACAGGACTGACATGGGGGGTTGAGAGGAGAATAGGATAAAAGTGGATAGGTAATGAACATTGCATGGGAACAGATGAAAGAAAGAATTGTTTGAATATATGATTATGCATTATATGTATGATAACAGTCCAGAATAAAGTACATTGCAAAGAGGACTGGGGGAGGAGGAGGGAGGTAATTGTGCAACAATGAATGAATATTTTTTTTAAAAAGGGAAGTGAAGGGAGAATGCAGAAAATGAGTGAATGAATGAAAATCCAACTTTTCAGTAAATTTTCACTAAAATCACAAAATAAAAAATTTTGTTTAAAGAAAAATAATTTTGTTGCTAACCAAATGGTCAGTGGTTTGAACTTACCTGCTGTTCTTTGGAAGAAAGGTAAAGCCATCAACCTTAGTCAAGTTGCACAACCTTAGAAAGCCTGTGAGGCACTTGTACTCAGTCTTACAAAGCTCTGTGAATCTGCATCAGCTCCTGACTGTGGGTTAAGCTACATTGATTTATGATCATTGACTTTCATTAATTATGATTGCAAGAACCTGAATTGTCTGAATTACCCAGTCAGGGTTAAGTAACATTTTCTGCATTTAATAGACTCTTCTTATTTGAATAGTGAATGTACATCCTCAACCCTGGTACATATATGGAACATTCTGCTCACCAGAATGTTTTATTAACTAGAATAGCCTATTTTTAGTACTTTGTGTCTCCAGCCAGTAAAATCAAGGTTTACTTCCTTTTAATTTTGTCTTAGCTGTTACATCTGAAGGGCTCAGATATCATCAGAATAAAAATGGCATAAAAAGTCTTTAAAAATGTTCAAAATTCCCTTGTATATAAATATGTTGATAGAAGCAGTCTCTCACCCCTATGTATTTCCATAGTGTCTTGTTTTGAACTTATTTCATGCTGCTTAATATTCATGACACTAAGCTTTTATGACTATAACTTCCCTACTAGACTGTGAGCAATTTAGTATAATACTCTAATTGAACACTGTATCCTGTAGTCCTTGACCTTTTAAAACAGCACACAGTAAATATTTCTTGAAAGAATGAATACATGATATTTCTTGAAAGAATGAATACATGTTACAGTGAGATTGCTAGTGACAGTCCTATCAGCTATTTAATTGAGATGCTTCTGTATTTCTAGAATATTCAAATTCCCAGAGAGTCATGGTACTGGTTAAGGCCGGAAGAGGAGAGTGAAGAGGAAGAAGAAAAAGAAGATGAAGATGACTATAAGAGTGAAGATTTAAGTGTATGTTTTGACACCAGTTCTTTTACAGTAGGTTTTCTCAGCCTAAGCACTGCTGACATTTTGGAGCAGATAATTCTTTCTTGCCGGCCTTGTGCTGTGCATGTAGAATGTTTTGCAGCATCCTTGGTCTCGTAATCATTAGATATCAGTAAGATCTCTACCCCTTTGTGACAAGCAATGTTTGAACACAATGCCAAAAAACCCCAGAGGGGGATAATCATCCTTAGGTTAGAACTACTGATTTACAGGATTAATTTATGAGCCCCAAATTAAAACTCATATACTTTTTGCCTTTAGTTTTAGTTTGCTCTTTGACTTTCTTTCATGTTTGAATGATGGATCCATTCCAAATGTAAATTATTTTTATTTACATGTTACGAAATGTCTTCAAAAGATTGTAGTGAGTACCTTCACCTCCAAGAAATAAAAATAACAGAAACAGTCTAAAGAAAGGGAAGATTACTCAAAGATCCATTCATAGTTATTTGTGTAAAAGATTTTTGTAGAAAATGGAATTTGAAAGACCTTTGCTTTACGTGACCAAGAGACTGTTAAAAGCAAAGGCAAGCAGTGTATACCTTCATACCTGTATGTGGCATGTTGTTGCTCTGTGCCATCAAGTTGGAAACGATCTATAGCTGACCCTCTAGTCGGTTTTCGGAAGCAGTAAGTTGCACAGGAGGAGATTGCCCATCCTTCTCCCACAGAGCAACTGGTGCCTTTGGATTGCAATACATCTTCTTACCACTAGGCCACCAGAGCCCCCCAAGTGGCCTTGGAAGAGTCTTTATGGGATGCTGATTATAATAGATCCAAAAATTATTTGAGCCAGCCAAACAACTGGTCTCTGCTGGCTGTAGTAGACGTGTAAAAATCTCAGGCTTTCTCCTACCCTTGACCCTTCTGGTTACCAAGTGAGAGTGCAATAAGAAATTGTAGCTTTGTGGGAGGGAATTTGCCATGATTGAAGGTACTTGAAGAAACCCAAGTATCAGTGCATAAACCTTTGATATGTTCATGTCCTGTGTCTAGGTACTGGAAAAGTTACAAATACTGACTGATTATTTAAGAGAAGAACATTTGTATTGCATTTGGTGTGGGACCACCTATGAAGGTAAGAAGATGGTTTTTTTGCTTTAGAAATACTGAATATAAGGATGTTCGTGAAGATGCTTTATTTGCTTTAAAAATACTGAATATAAGAATGTTCTTTGATTTTCATCTTTAAATTTTTATAAAAGTAACATTTCCCAAGGGCAGTGGAAATGCCTTGCTGCATCTCAGTAGCAATGTAGGATGAATATTTTAAATAAACTATGGTTTTATAAGGAATTGAGACTTTATTAAGGTTGCTTCTCAGTCTGGAACAAGAAGTGCATTGCAAAGTGGACTTGGAGAGGGAGAAAGAATAATGGGCAACAGTGAATGAACAGTGAAAAAACCAACCTCTCTGTAAATCCTTATCATAATTTTTAAAAAAGGTCCTTTCCAGTGTTTCAGAAACTTAATATCAGGAAGGGAAATCATTAGTCTTCTCCTTCAAAGGAAACAATTTTAAGACATTGAGACTAGGAAGGTGAATTTTTTTCATGCTTTATAGATTCTTCTGCTATTTTAAACAAATCTGTACTAAATGAATAGAACTAGGTTTTATATCATTAGAATATTATCCCTAATTTAGAAAATTCAGATATCTTAAGTCTGCACCATTTTGTTTGTTTGCTTTTCTTATAATGGGAGTAAAAAGAAGAATCTTTAAATTTTGCCAAATGTGTTATAGAACCTAGTGCATCCACTTTTAATACATTTACCCAGGCTGCCCTTTCTAGCTCCTTAAATGGACTTTGTACTTGACAGCGAAAATGATGTGCCTATTGTTAATGCTTTTATCTTTCCCTGCTTTAAATAGATAACAAACCCAGAAGATCAAAAGCACAATGCTTACATGGAAATAATTTTCTAGAACAGTTTACTATACAAAGTGTATTAACCTTTTTGTTTCTCTCTTATAAATAACAGATAAAGAAGATTTATCTTCAAATTGCCCAGGACCATCGTCTGCAGATCATGACTAAAAATATTCTGAAAAAAGCAGAACCTAGGAAAATGTTCATGTTTCCTGCTATAAACTGTTGAGCAATTAGAATTCCCAGTTGTTTTATGCTGGTGGAGAGGGTCAAATTTTAATCATTTTTGTATTTTTACTATCTTTGCCATTGTTGAGTTAGTTTTGACTCAAAGTTGATCCTCCATTGGGTTTGTGAGACTGAAATTGCCATAGGAGGAGACATTTTTCTCCTGTGGAGCAGCTGACAGAGAAGCACAATCTTTGGGCTTGTGAGGCAGCTCACTGTGGATACCTGGGCTCCATTTGTACTTCAGAATGATAGAATTGTTCACTCACGTCAAAGTAATGGGATGCTGGAGAAGAGTACTGAGTGTCCGGTGGACGGCCCAAAGAACAAACCAACAGATCCTAGAAGAAGTACAGCCAGAGTGCTCCTTGGAGGCAAGGATGACGAAACTTCATCACTCGGGATATCATGCTTGAAAACGTGGGAGGTCAGTGAAAGAGAGGAAGCCTCTCGGCGAGATGGATTGGCACAGTGACTGTGGCAGTGGGCTCAAGTATGTCAGAGATGATGATGATCGCACAGGATTGGAAAGGGGTCAGGTCTGTTTTTCATAGATCGCTCTGAGTCAGTACTTGACTTAATGGTACCTAACAGCAATAGCATTTCAGAACACAAATGTCACAGACATGGCCAATTACAATTGTATCTGTGACTATATTGTGACACTTTTGGGGTAACTCTCCTTCCTCTCTTCACTTTCGAACAAACTGAATAATAAGGCAGGAGAGAGATCAGGAAATCAACTCTCTTAGCAGGGATGCTAAAACAGAAAATAAGGTTCACTTATTCTCCTAGCAGGCTCCCTAATACTTCTTTCTGAGTGGAGAGAGTGAAAACCTTTTACCTGTGTGTTCTGGATGAGACCAGTTAGCTCTCCAGGTGGGAGAACCCACCAGTCCTGAGCCACAAATGCTCGGTTCCTAATGGCAGTATCAGCAATCATACAAGACACTTCACTTTGGAAATGAATGAAGGTTCAGAGAGCTTTTTCACATACTTCGACAGAGAGTCTCCTCATGTGCAAGCAGGAGGAGGAGACAGGAACTATTCCCCTCACTAAGTCTGAGGTCAGAGGCACTGTTCTGTCAATACTGTTGCTGCTGCCGTTAGGTCCATCATCAAGTATGACTTAACAGCGACCCTATGAACAACAGATCAGAACCCTAATCCATTTTAGAAACAAAGTAATTCTGAGGTTTCTCATTAAGTCTTGAATTTTCAAGGAATTATTTATATACATTGTAAAGTTTGGCTAAAATAATTTTAAGAATTGAGAGGAGCGTTAAATACCTTGTGATCCAACTATATATGAACATCTAAACAATGTTCCTGGTCATGGTTACTCTTTCATCATCCTTCAGCCACAGAGAGGTCACTGCTGTAAAACAGACCATTCCATTGCTGGGTCAATCTTAAAGATAGTTTTTAAGTTTTCTGAAGCTGGAATTGGCTTAAGTGTAAATTAACAAGGACATACTATGGAACCCTGTTCATGGTTGGGCATCAGAATCAGGAACTTTTAAAGTTCTCGTTCCTAAATGCCTCCCTTAACAATTTTTATTTAGTTGAAGCAAGTTCATATGGGATATATATATATGTGTGTGTGTGTGTATATATATATATATATATACACACACACAAATATATACACACTAAAGCCCTCAAAATGAGTCTCATGAATACATGAGCATGAATAGAATAGAGGAAATGGAGCCCCACCATTCTTTGGATGGAGTTGGACAACCAGTTGTGACCTCTCTGAGCAGGAGATCGGTAAGATCTGTACATAGAAACTGTGTGCCCAACAATGTGAAAAACCATTGTGTCGTCTTAAACAAGTTGGAACAATCAATAGAGTGACTGGGATGAAGTGACATAATTCACTTGGTCCTTTAACTTAAGAAAGTTTTAAGAAAAAGATGAATGCAGTTTAGACCTCTAGAAATTCTGATGATGTCACCACTGGTCTGGGCATCACGTGTTGGTTTTAAGATGAAGCAGAGATTGAAGGTCACCGACAAAGTGAACTTCTGAGCCTTGTTCCTCACCCAGAAAACAACTCATTATTTTTAAATGTAAAGATATGTAAGATATTGTTTATAAGATTGTGTAATATTGTTGAATGTTTACTTCTCAAGTAATTGAGAATGTATTTAAAAAGAAATAAAATTACTTGTTTAACGAATACTTCTTTTTTAAGAAAATGATAGTGAAATGGTTATGTCATTCCAGCTCACACACCTACATTCAGTCACATGGTTTGTTTCGCAGAGAATGGAGTTTGAACAGAATTTATATCTCTTTGTCTTACAAACTGGAGACAAGCCACTTTCCCAATATGTGAGGATAATCTTGATGGGATCTGTGGCTCCAGGTTTGTGGACCCCATTTCCAGGGCTCTGGGTGTAATTTGGTGGTCTTACAAAGTAGCAGATATCCATCCATTTTTGTCCATTTAAGAGCAAAAATAACAGTTTCTGTATAAGTGAAAATAGACCTTTTAGAACTTTAAGGGAAATAAGACTGAGGGAACCAAAAGGTTGAAAGAATTGTTTTAATTTGTTTGACATTCAGAATTTTTTAAAAGTAATTTTTAACATCACGCCCCTAGATATATTTGCAAAATCCTATCTAGAATTTCTAAAATATATTATTTTAATGATTGTAAATTCCAAATTCTGTAGCTTTTTAAATCCATTTACTTTATACACATTTACTTCAAGTGTTATTTGCCAAATATTGTTGAAACTTGGCACAATATTATTAGTCATATTTTGTATAATAAAACATAAATTCTTAACACTTTACTGCCCACCAATTCAAAAGTTCTTAGTTCTTGCTTTATGCAGGGTGGTATGCTCATTGCCTTGGTGGTGGATACAAAAATGAGAACCTGTCCCTGCTCTCCAATAATTCAGTTTAATGATCACATAGGAATAGCCGTACTCCTAGGGAAACTGGTAAGCACAGTAGTGAGGGACAGCACAAAGGAAGTAGGGAAAGGAGTAATTCTGAATGAGTTCTTGTAAAACACTAAGCCAATAAAACGGGGTTTTCAAAAATGGGCATAACTGATGTACAAAGTTAGAAGGAAGGATTTACCATTATACTTAGTATTCCAAGTACACACCCAGGAGAAATGGGAACATACAGCCCTGCAGAAGCTTACAATCTAAAAGATTATTCATGATAGCCAGAAGTGGAAACAACCCAAATGTTCAACTGAAGAATTGCTGCTGTGTGCCGTCGAGCTGGAACCGACCAGTAGCTGACCCTCCAGTGGGTTTTCAGAGGCAGTAAATTGTACTGAGGAGATTGCTCCCACAGAGCAGCCAATAAATTCAAATTACGTGGCTTTGGGGTTGCAGTGCAGGTTCTTGCCGCTAGGCCACCAGAGCTCTACATGATGAATATAAAATTGGTGGTATAGTCATCCAATGAATTATTTGACAATAAGAAAGAATGAAATACCCATCCTACAATGCAAATGAGCCTTGAAAACATGAATGAAATAGGACACTGATTATAGTATTCCATTTGTAATGTTCACTAGGCAAATCTGTAGACAAGCAAAAATGGTTGGCTAGGGCTTGGGGAGTTGGGGAAAATTAGTAACTGCTAATTGGAACATTTTTTAATGTGGGATGACAGATGTTTTAAAATTGTGATGGTTGCACAACTACTAAACTGCTTTAAATGGTAATTATATGTGGATTGCATCTCAATAAAGGAGTTGTTTTTATAACATTGGGTCCATAATGGGAGGTAAACTTAAGACCGGCAGGGCTGTGGCCTGAGTGAGACAGAATAACTTCAAACCTTTTGATTTTTTAGCAAACTGTACTACAGAGAAAAGAACTTAAGGACAGAGTGAAAGTTACCTGACAACAGAGAACCCAGGTCAAGGCAACAATAGGTGGCTGGAGTGAATATGTAAGGCAAAGGGACCACATTCTAAGAGTCAATCTGAATGGTTCTTAAGACAACCAGAAGCTGATGAAAATGTAGCGGGGGGGCGGGGGGTGTGTGTGGTAAGGTACAAAACACACCACAGTTTCCCATCATTGCTAAGGTCTAATCCAGCTCTGAAATGGATTCCCTATAAAAATCTGCATATTATTGGGCATTTTATTAGCATGCTGAGGAGTTGTTAAGTGGTGCAAACAAGTGCTTGGCTATTATCCGAAAGGTTGGCAGTGCAAACTCAGGCAGCAGTATCTCAGAAGAAAGGTCTGGCCATCTGCTTCCAAAAAGGCACAAGCATGAAAACCCTACAGAACACCATTCATCTCTGCAGCCCCCGGGGTCAGCACACAGGAGAGGTAGCTTGACAGAAAATAAACTAGCATGGTCTTATTTTTTTCATCAGAACTTATAAAAACCCATCTATGGACTTCCTGGATGTCCAACTGTAGACTGAGACTCTCCAGACCAGCAGATCTCAATGATGGTATACTGACATTTTGGACTGGGTAATTCTGTTAAGGGCCTTTCTTGTTCAGGGTAGGATGTTCAGTAGCAACCCAATCTCTAGCTAGTAAACCCCTGTAGCTCACCTCCACTCTCAAGTTGTGACAACTGAGTGTCTCCAGATAACTGCCTAATGTCCAGTAAGACAAAGGAGGTCCAGTGGAGAACCACTACTGCAGGAGATAATGGACACGTTTTACGGTGAGTCAATCACTTGGAGAGCCTATGAAAACAAATTTCAGTCTGCTTGGGGGAGACAAAAAAATTTACCTTTCTGACTAACTCCAAGTAATGGTGATGCTTCTGGTCCTGAGATAACACTTGGAGAACTAAGTGGGGTTTGGGGAAGATTCCAAAGATGCTGCTGGATATCCTGCAATGCATGAGACATCCACTGATAACATAATGCTGACGCAGCCACTGCTCAGAAACTCCGTGCTAGAGTAAACCATTTCTTGAGAGCTGGTTTGGAGGTTCTAGCGGGAGCGCAACTACTCATATACCCTTGACCGAAGG